TGTAAGGCTGTGGGTGCTAGTCTTGTCAGCGTCTTTGGAATACTGTGCTGCTTTGAGGGCTTTCTCTGCAGACTGAAAATACGAAACAGTTTTATTATTAGAATGTAGCAACTCCTATAAAGCTCATCAAAGGCAAGATAGCCAGGTCTGGCTTGATGAAATGCAAGATCAATGTTTAAAAAACTTCGATATCAATCAAACAGAAATAAGTAGTTGAGTTGACCAAATTGTGAGACAAGCTGTAACGATGAAACAGAAACCCCTTCATACCTGATGGCACTTGAAGCACGCCCATTCATACGAGGTTCTTTGATATTCTACATCGTTACTTGCTGCTTCCAGATCTGCTTTTGCTTGTTTGTACCACCTTCTTGCTTCACCAGGTTGAGGGTTACTTCTGTTTGAGTTCGAAGAAAAAGTAGAAAAGCCACCGCCATTATAAAAGCCAGCGCCACTATAGAAGGAAGATCTTTGGTCACTGTGATATCGTGCACGGCCTGACCAGGAATTAAAAAAGCTACTGTAGAATCCGCTGTAGCTATACCCARATCCCCTCCACGGTCTAACGGAGTCTCCCTTTTCGAACTTTTCGATTTTTCCTTGAATGAACTGAAAAACCTTTATACAAAACTCCTCGTTTCCTGGATTTTTATCTGGATGCCAAGTAAGGAACAAACGTTTGATGATTTTGCGCCTTTTTTCTTCTGGTAGCCTCCAAGCTTCCTCTAGAATCCTTGTGATTCGGTTTAATACTTCACCAAGGTTTTCCGTTTGTTTGGATTTGTCAGAAGAAGGACCACAATATACCTCAAGCTCCGAACATTCATTACTCGACTTGTCTGGACGTTTGAACTTGTACAAGTCTGCTGCGTCCACTACGATGGGATCTTTGTCTTTTCCAATATTAATTCTGTACCGTCTAGAGCTTGCCGTAGATAAGGGTTGTCCGTCCTTGATTACCTCCTCTATGACAATTGCATAGATGTAGGTTGGAGTTCCCTCTTCTCCTCGAAGACTTGGATCATCAAGCTCGTAACCAACGTACTCACCAGGATTGAATACTGCAAAAGCGTCGACCAGCAGATGATGATCGTCAATATGAATGAAATTTCCAGCTGGTGGGAAATAAGATGACTTTGCTTCCAGAAAGGAGTTGTCCTCGCGTACTCCCAATTCATCAAGGAAACACTTAATTTTGTGTGGCATTAAAGAAAGCATAATTGGAAGATGGGTCAACATTTCTTTTCCTAAAAGATCCCCTGTCATCCTGTCTACAATTATAGCCACTCGTGAGAAGTATATCTTGAGGTCTGCTCCTTCTTCAACGTATATCTTCCAAGTCTCAAGTTCCCCACATTCTTCTTTCTCTCCAAAGCAAGAAACGTTGGCCTCGCTGTCGCGGATGGTTTTGCCATTGCACACAAGCCTTGTTYGAAGGTGTGAAACACCATAAACGAAGATACAAGACAACTTTTGTCGTACATTTGTCAAGATATCACTACTTATATCCACTTCATTTTCGTAGTTGGAATGTCTAATCATACGAATCAGTCCATGGCAGAACTGCCCTGATGTCAAAATCTCCCGAAGTTCKTGTGCTGTGCTGGAACAAGAAAGTGCCTGTTTTTTTTCCACCAAGGTTTCACGAACTACTGATGTAAGCATAAGAGGACGTACGGGCTCGGGAAGATTTTTAACCAGCATTTCGTCGTTGGATACTTCTAGATGACACGTTTCTAGTTTTACTAGCAGCAACCTTTCAAAGCACTTGATTCGCTCCTTAAAGTTTGGAGCATCGTTAAACACTAAGTGAGCTGATCTTTCTAAAACCACAAACGGCTTGTTCCCATCATCAGGATTTCGTTTCTCTCCTGGCAAATAGAGTGGAGAGATTTCTGGGGCTTGAACTTCTTTCATCTTCGCTATCGTCTCAAATAAACCTTTTGTGGCTTTAAAAGCATTGCGTATCTCGTTAGGGTGAAGCTTCTCGTCACCAGATTCATCGTGTATATTCTTCAGTACCATCGAATACTGTGCTGCAGTGATGTTGGTTGTACCAAGATTTTTGAACAGCTCTGCGTAAGCTCCTATTTCAAGGGGAATCATGTACAGATATGGCGGGATTTCTTGGTCTGATGTGATATCCACGGCCACTTGGATAGGAAACACAAATCGATTGCCACCATCAACTACGATGCAGCGGATGTTCTTCAAATCATCAATGACTTCTTCATTTCCATAGTAGATTCTTTGCAGATACTCGTAAATGCTTGTCATTATTCCGAGTACTAGGCGAGAGTTTTCAAGACAATCTTTTCTCTCCTTGTTTTCGGTGGGCTTCTTTTGGGTAAGCACTTTGCAGATGGTTTCACAATGAGTGACCACCATATCAACAGTTGGGTTTTCAAGAATCCCTAATCGTTGGAAGATCCTTTCTTTGTAGTTTCTATGATGATTCAATTTGTGGTTACCTTCGTAATTTGGATTTACTCTATAACAATGCAATGGGTTGGCACTGGACGGCAAAAGGTTTGCACTTGTCCAGCAAATGTAATGATCATTATGATAATTAGAGGCTACAGAATCTTTAAAACAGATGTAGGGCAAGCCACTTGGTTTCATGCCATACTGTTTATGCAGACATTGTAGCCGACTATCCACACTATCCACACTATCCACACTATCCACACTATCCACACTATCCACACAAGGAAAGATGAAACAGATTTCTTTCACATACTCCAAAAGTGCACTTGTTGCGACGTTTTCTAGTTGGAAAAGGTGTCTGACAAGAGTATCTGATTTATCCTTTGTTGCTTCACTCGGTCTTGTCTTGGCTTCAGTTTCTACTTCCTTGGCAAACTGTAAGAATTGTTCGTCAGTGACTTCATGGATGAGCCCTATCCGACGTACAAAGTGCAGCCATTCAACTTCACAAAAGAGTTTAGGAAGAAATACATCTTGTTTGTTTTGAAACATCGCTTTGAAGACTTCATTGAAAGGGTCGTAAAAACTAGACGCGGTTTTAAAAGACCCACTCTTATCTGGAATAAACTTCAACTTACGGAGCTCTTGTAACAGCTTCTCCCTATCCTCGGACTTTTCATCATTTCTTGGATCCTTTAGAAAAATATCTGAGTCTGAGCCCGTTAACAAACTTTGAAGAAACTTTAAATGCTCAAGTCTTGCCTCTTCACTCATTTCATGAAATTTCTCAAATATAATGTCGCAGTACAAGTCAATGGCGTTCTTAGAATCACATCCCAAGAAGGCATAAAGGTCTTTCAATCTATAATCTTCTTTTAAAAACGCAATCCTTGACTTTTCTTGCCAGATATGCATGTCGTCCTTGGGAATCGAATCGAAAAGCACTATTGCTTGCATTTCTTTGATGCTAATTGATTCACCATGTATAGTTGTGTAGAAAGGAAGGGCCTTCAGATCTTCGCTGTCTTCGCTGTTGAATAGCTTTATCTGTTCGCTGAAAAAATGCAGCACACTTTCGCAAGCAAGGTTCTCTAGACCATGAAGGGAATTGGGTTCCCTCTTTAGCTTTTGTACAATAACTCTTAAAATAGATGTTGGATCATCTAAACCAGCCACAATTTGCCTTGCCGTTTTGCTATAGAAGGGACTATAAGATCCACCATCCAGTATTCTGCAGTTCAATTTAGGAAGCCCCATTTTCTCAAGACTCGTTCTTAGAAGAGAAGTATACGTACTAGTGAATTCCCTTCTATAGGATTCAAAGTGAATCACAGACTTGGCCGACGCTAGAGGGAATAGGAGATGTCTATCCTTTGAAGAATAACCTTTTTCTGTTTCGGTAGCTGGAAGAAGACACCATTCATTGACAGGTGACAAGGCTTCTTGCAAGATACGTTTGCGCTCCATTTTCTCATTGTGGCGCATTTCTTCTGAAGTTGAACCCTTCGGTACTTCATTCTCCATGTTTTTTTTCTTCTCTTCAAGGTGTTCATCGATGAGTTTCTTCACATATTTTGAAAAGAATCTCCACACATGCCAAATCCAATGTTTGTTTGGAATCTTCTCTCTATCTTCTGGATCCCAGATAACATATTCATTGGTGGATTTGTAGACGCCCTTGTTCAATTCTCTTGGAAGAAGATGAGCAAATGCATTGATGTCAAAATCTTTGAAAACTGGGGACGTCGTATGACCATCTTTGAGGCAGAAAACCGTGTTAAACATCTCACGGTGTACAAACATTGAGCTGCAATGAGGAAGTATCTCAGAGTAACCACTCTGAAACACTGGAAAGTTTCTACTTAAGACACGAAGAACGCCATCTTGGGTAAGGAGCAATGGAAGACCATCAAGAAGTTGACAAAAGTTTTCGTCTTGACTGCAATATTTGAGAACCATAAGCAAGTTGTCGACACTTTCAAATGGAGTATCTTTAATACCCAAAGGCAGGCATCCAACGTTACACAGCTGGTTTGGGGCGTCGTATGTTCCAAAGAAATGAATAACATCGGCCGATGAGATAAGGCTTACATCCACTTTGGATTTCTTGAAACACTCGTACACTCTCATTGGCATACAAAGAAGGTTGAAGCCCACAGCAAGAAGAGTGTCTCTCAAACTTCTACATCTTTTCTTCGCTCTTTCCTTCTTTTTGTAATCATACGTTGAGTACTCTTTTGGCAGGTTCTCTATCAAAATACCAAAAAAAGCCTGGTCTGGACCTTCTCCCGTTGGTGGCAGCCACTCAATGACCACTTGCTCTTGCTCATTCGTGTTTCTAACTTGACGTAGAACTGGAAGYAGACGAACGCGTTTTGCATCCATATAACGATATACTTYCTTGGCCAGAGTCTCCCAATACAATTCACGGGACGACAGAGAAGGGAATAAATCTGCATAGCATGAATTAAGCATTTGCTCYGCATCATCTCGACTGCAACTTAATTTTGTTCTATTGGCATTCACTGGCAATAAGATCAGTTGCCTCACCTCATCTAGTAAGGTTACATAGCATGGCGCAATCACTTGTCGTAGTAATGCATCATTCCAGTTACTCCTGTAATCATTACCTCTGTCATCTCGCCAGAGGCTTCTACGATCTTCATGGTTTAGAGCAAAATGCCCATTAATGTGAACTGGTAGGCCTGTTTCAAAAGGAAGGGGTAAGAAACAGAAGGCTTTTCCGGGTGGATTTTCAATGGAGGGACTGATCAACGATGCCACACCTCCACGCGGCAATAGGCCCAGATCACCTTTTTGGAATGCCTTGATTACAGCATCTGGAATTTYCTTTGGGTTTTCAAAACCAATCTTCTGAACAACAAACCATCTCTGAGTCAAACCCTCACGGTCTTCCAGATTAACAACATAGGATACTTGGTGTAGAGGGACATCGGAAATCGACATTGCTCCATCCTGTAGACGTTTTC